GGATTTGCGTATCTGTAAAATACTGGTTTCTTCTGCACGCTATATCTCGACTATTTGTGGGCCGATCGGGTCGCGGCATGTCTTTTTGTGATGGGGAGAGTCCTGCCAACCGATTGGCACCAGAAAGAAGGACATCCATGACCTCACGATTTTCGCAAAAAATCATGATGGTTACATCATTAAATTTGCCAAAAATCGGCCTCGTTTTCGAAGTCAAGATTTCGATACCGTTCGACAGTTTTGGTCCTCGCGGTCCTGGGAGAGTTGGTCCTGCACCGATCTGGGCCTACTTGGCCGAGATATAGCTTTCCGAAAACTTGGACTCTCTTACATCCGCCTTGTCTGATCAGGGCTTGCCACGGCTTTTTGTAATGGACGAAACATTATTGATGGAGTCCTTGTCAAGACCAAGGATATTTTCCTGTACTTTTTGTACCTATACTTGTAGACCGGTCTGGGAGGCTTCAGGATCGAAAGATCGCCATCAAATTGCTGCCTCAGTGTCAATATCGGAAGCCTCTCAGCGAAGGTGAAGAAGCAGTAGGCCATTAAAATATGTACATAAATGTATGCACTTATAGTCGATCTATTTCTGGTCCGATCTGGACAATTGGACCCACAGCCCTACCGACGTCCATGCCCAATAATTAAACAAGTATTTCTTTTTCGTATCTTTTTGTTTTTTTTTTTTTTTTTTGCATTGTATTTCCAAAGAACTTTATTTAGTTTGAAAGCATTTTCCTTACGGTTTCATTATCTTCGTCGCTCTGCTTCTTTTTGTTACGTTATAATAATATTTAGTAATTCTAATGCTGATTTCCCGTTTAGTTAATACAATGGTTAGTATGTATTTATGGTAGCTGTGGTAGTATATAGTGTAAGTGTTCGGTTTCCGGAAAATGGGTTTCGCATTTTAAAATGTACAATTCTTGTAGGATCTCTGCTTCCCGCTACACAAGGAAGTTTTTGGTTTAGTTGCGTTAGCTAGTATCTGTGTCGTATTGTGTCTGTGACGAGTAGTTGAGTACACACACGCACACGCACACGCACGCGCACACGCACACACATCCATGTATAATTACATATATACAGTTAAACAGTATAAGTGTTTGTTTAATTTACTTTCGCGGGTCTAGGAAACCAAATTGTGTCTCGAGTGTGGTTCATACTGTGTGTGTGTGGTTCATACTGGATGATTCCCATAAGAGGAGGGTTTCCTATAAGAGAAGAGAAATTTCATTTCGAGTGCTACATACATACACGTAATATATATATAATTGCGTAATACACTTTTTACAACATTTAGCCAAATAGCCCCCATACACATCAAATATATACGAGTATCATAATTTTGTTTAAGCTTTTGCTTGAGATTTTCCGAGTTATTGATTATATTATATGTGATTGTGTATATATTGTATGTATGTAGTATTATTATTTCGTTTTTGTTAGCTCCTTTTTGCTGTTGTTTGCCTTTTCCATTTTACAGGCTGTTTAAGAAAAAAATGCCCCACCTTCTTCCATGTCCCTTCATCAATGAGAAGCAATCACAAAGTTTTCTCTTAATATATGCCACAATTATTATTAATATTATTATTATATCCATTCCTTTTGTTGGAATGCTATTCTTGAGTAAATTTCCTCATGTATTTACACGATTTCTTAGATGTCATGCAGTGCACAATGTTCTGGCCAGCACATTTGGCCTGGCCTTAAGCAACTCTACAACTACGATTAATTTCAAGCCGGAAATGTTTACTGGTTTTCCTTCGTTTCATTTACACATTGAGGATCGAGGTGGTATATATTTTCTTGGGGTATTTTGGTTAAAAAAAACTGTGTCACAATTTTTACAAACAGCCTTTTGTTAAACGTACATTAATGTGTGTCTGCTATGCGAATAAGTGTTGTGCTATATACTCGTATAAGAATTACATTTTATAACCTGAGCGCAATCTTTTTTAAATGGTTTCTACTTGTCTTGAATTCGCATCTTGAGAGCTCGTTTGTTTTTTGCCAAAATGTGTGTACATATACACATACATATCCATATACATATACATATACTCGTACTACTCCCCCACACACACGCACACACATAGTTGAATAATATTCAAAAAGGATCAGGATAATCAGGATTCTCCTTGGAAATGGCTGTTGCTATCCAATGTCCAAATATGGATTACCTATTTACCTGTTTTCTAATATATATTCTGGATGCGATTTATGGTTTGTTAATCTCAAATATTGTCCATACATATACACATACACATACACAAATATATATATACCTAGTATATTGTATATTGTATTATATCGTATATCGTATATAGTAGTAGGTAGTAGGTAGTAGGTGTGTGTGTGTGTGTGTGTTTTTTTTTTATAACTATAAATTCTAATTAGCAAATGCATTGGGTTGGTTGGATCCACTCTTAGATGATGTCTGAACAAATGAAACAAGAATTGATTCGTTTTCTTCTTTTTTTGTTGTTGTTTTTGTTTTTGTTTTCTTCTTTTTTTATACAAACAGTTTACACAAGGTTTTTCGTTTTAATTACCAGTTAACGTAAATGTAAATTAATGTAATACGTGGCTAATATACATACATATACATATACATATATGTTTATATATATATATATATATATTTAAGTTAAGAATGATTCTTAGCGGGCTCCGTAATTGGTTTAGAAGTCAAATACTAATGCAGTTTACAGTTAAAGTTGCTCCTCCCTCACATACATATACACATACATACATATATGCATGAACAGAAAACAGGAGTCTCCCAAATCATATACATACACATATATATATATATATATATATATATATATATATACCTACTCAATACAATATACCATATCATATACTCGTAGTTTCAATAGTTTCAATAGTTTTCTCCTTCTCCAATTGAGGGTTGTGCTATGTGTCTATAATATACATGTCCATTACTAATCGTAGATGTGGGCTAGTTATTGGTGGGGTGTGGAGATAATTCTATGTACATGGTGCCTAAGCCGAACGAAATATAATTCTTCTTAATTCTACAAGGTGCTTAATACCGCTACCTCTGCTACCTCTACGATCTAGAGATGTGTGGTATATGCTGTTGGTTTGTGTGTCGATCGATTGAGTTAATAGTCACAATAACTTGCACTCGAATGTCGTATGTCTCTGGTCAAATGAAATCTGTTCTATACATATATATATATATACGATACATATATAGGTATATACATATATATATTTAAGAAAAACTTTAGTTATAAACAAAGTTGAAAGGAATTCTACTTTTTGGACACTGATTTCTTTTGTTTTTAATTGCCTTTCCTTTTTCATTCCATTCCTTTCCTTTCCGTTCCTTTCCTTTCTGTTCCTTTCTGTTCCTTTCCGTTCCTTTCTTTTCCTTCATTTCGTTTTTGTTTTTGCTATGAGATCTCCGTGAAAGTTTTGAAAGTTCATATTTTGTTTTTTTCATTTGTTTTTTCTTTAAGCTAATCCATTTATGTGTACTATATATATAGTCGTATTCGTATTCGTATTCGTATTCGTATTGCTATAATTAATAACTACATAAATAAGAAAGCAGCACAGTTAAGAAGCTAAGAGGAAATCGAAGAGGAAATTTTCAGTTTAGTTAAGCTTCAGTTTCGAGAGTTTCCTTCCACTTCCTTCTACTACATTACAATCGTAGTTTATAATTTGCACATCCTTCGGTTATACGCATACATATACATACTCGTATGCCTGTGTGCTTAAATCTCTAATCATTTGAATGCAAAATAAATCCAAAATACAAATGCACACAGATACAGATACAGATGCAGATGCAGATGCAGATACACCCCCATACATTTTGGGTTTTGGCGGAAAGAATAGAAATCAATTTCATATTGCATGTTGCATATTGCAGTGCACGTTCTCAATTAATTAAGTAAACTCAGTCTTAAGCATATATAATGTCCGGGGACAGCCGAGGAGGCCGTCGAGTCCTTTGCATCCTTTATAGCCGGTCCTATCCTGCACCTTTGCTGGCCAAAGCATTGAGCATTCAGAGAGACAGAATGTTGGTCAGACGAAAATTAAGCTATATTACATGGTAATCAACTAAGGTAAAAAAAAAAAAAACGTATACATAGGTACATATAAATATATCAACTAAAATCGAATTGATTCGGGCGGCCAAAGTACGGGGGGGGTGCCACAGTGCGGGCAACTTGTCTGCTACCGCCCGGAATCATTCACTGGGAGGGGGCAGTGTGTCGTCCACATGTTTGTTGTTTCTTGTTGTTTTTGTTGCTATTCAATATTATTACAATTACGAAAAAGTATTTTTAAAAAGCTTAACAAACTATTATCAAAGCGAAAATTGTCATAACTAAATTAAATTCAAATTGATTAGTATATCTTTATGTATATTTGTTTAAATGGTATTTTGTTGTTCAGTCGACAGTTGAAACTTTGAACTAATTTCGTCAAATTTTCCCGCTTTACCGCTTTTCTGCTTTTCCGCTTTCCTTTTTGCTATCATCATATACATCATCAAACTCTTGTCGTAGTCGTACTATATATGTATTTGTATATATATATATAACTCTGACACTAGTCAGATATTAAGTGTATGTCTAGAAACCAGTTTCAAAATTGAAGCTTCAAATTTTAGTTGAAATCAAAATAGTTGCATAATTTTAAATGAGTTTTCCCTTCGTTTAGTTTCGTTTCGTTTAGTTTAGTTTAGCTTTTTCTACATACAATAGGTACTACACATAATTAGGTTTTAGGTTTTGGGTTCTGGGTTTTGGGTTTTAGTTGAATTTTGATGGATTTCATTTCGCTCGCTCTGAGGTAAATTTTGGCAAAAAAACTTGAGTTCTGTGTGCATTTTGCGTTTACAATTTGATTTTAAATATATATACGGATATATATTTAATCGTTAGGCATATCTATATATATATATATATATATATATATATATTTATGTGTTATCTAATAATAATTATAATAATAATAATCATGAATACGACACGACGTCTGTGTGTTTGTGTGCTGCTAATTAATTTACACATACATAGACTTCCTAGGAGCTGTTCTAGGAGCTTAACATAAAACATTATCCTTTCTTTTGCATTGAATTTGAGGGACGATTCGATTCGTTTCAATTCTTGTCAAGCACAACAACATGTTCCTGCCTTTCCTCCTTCCTGGCGGCAACTTATGATTGTTGTAATTAATATTGTTGGTTTTTCGTTTGTTTATAAGAAATTGTTTTTTCTTAGTTTTTTTCCTCTTTTCCTGCGTATCTGCTGCTACTTTAACTACAATTGTTTGTTTTTGTTTTTTGTTTTTCCTTTTTTTTCAGTTTAGACTAGTTTCAGTTGAGTTACGTTACGTTATTTGTTTGTTTTGTTTGTTTGTTTGTTTGTTTGTCTACAGTATTATTAATTATTTGTTTTGCTTTTGTTGTAGTTGTTAATTTCGGTGGTGGAATGCTTTAAACAGACGGAACGCCCACTTAAAAGTTGTTTGGCGCTTGCACAACATCATTGAATCGTTGTTCCTGGCTGAATTTTGTCTAGGTTGTCTCTTGGGATTGGGATTGGGTTCAGGTTCAGGTTCTGAGACACCGACTGCGACTGCGACTGCGACTGCGACTCCGATTGCGATTGCGACTGATAGCTCCTTCCCTGATGGTTTGGCTGTTGGTTTGCTTTTGCTTTTGCTTTTGTGTTTGCTTTTATTTCGATTTTAGGCAGCAATGGCCTCATTTTGCCGTCATTCCCATTGATGCGGCGACGGCGGCAGTTCCGAAGGATGGGCCACAGTCGAGCTAGATTTTTGGAATAGCAAAACAGAAAATACATTAGTCTCGTATTGGGGCAAGGCATCTCGTCTCGTCGAGATATAGCTGCATCTAGATTAGTGTTCATGCTACGCAAATCAAAAACATTTAAAGCTAAACAATTTACATACAATACAATACAATACAATATAATACATGTAGGTAGATACAACAAAACGATACGGTACTGAACGAAACGAAACGACAGATCGACAGATAGACAGAAGCTCCCATAAAATAACAAGCTTAAAATATGAAATGAAAGTGTACACAAAATGAACTACAACGTTTTTGTCGGGCTGGAGAAGAGGCTGGGAGTGGGACGGAGTGGGTGTGGGTGTGGGTGTGGGTGTGGGGCGGATATATGTAAATAAATAGTTCTAATGGTTCGATAAATACAATAATTAAAATTTGTTTAGTGGAAGTTGTTCAAGCGCTTTGCTTCTTCTTTTCATGTGGTTTTTGTCACTGCTGCTCGTCTGCAATCTGCAATCTGCAATCTGCAATCTGCACTGTACTACGGGTGGTTATATTTTTCAAAAATTTTTCTTTTTTTTTTTTCTTTGCAGTTGTTGTTTTTTTCTTTTCTTTTGGATCTAGTTTGAGGCTGGGATATGTTTGTTGGGAAAAGCACGAACTGCAGTAACGAGGGCGGGGCGGGGCGGGGCGGGGCGGGGGTTGGAGGGTTATAGGCTGGGTGCCTGGGTGGCTGGCTGGATGTGAGATTTGTACACAAAAAGGTAACAACATAGTAGATATTTATAATAAGATGTATATTAATGAGCATTTGCATGTGTTCGTCGTTCGTCATTCCAAGTCTGGAACAGGATGGAACAGGTAATGAATTGATTAAAACTCTGTTTTGTTTCACACGAATACGATTAATATATGCATGTGTGTGTGTGCGTGTGTGCGTGTGTGCGTGTGTATATATATGTATGAGTGTTTGTATAAATAGACAAATGCTTGAATGAGCAGGAGGCGGAGGAGTAGGAGGCGGCGGGGATTGTGAACACAAAAGATAAACACACAAAATTGATTATGGAGTTTGGATTATGGATTATGGACTATGGACTATGGACTATGGACTATGGATATATATACGTGGGTATATGCATGAGATTGGTCAGATTCGGTCACTGATTCGGTCTTTATAAAATAGTTGCAAATGTCTGACAAAATTTAATTTGCATTCTTTTTCCAAGCCAATTTTGGACAGATATATACAAAATATATATATATATATATATGCATTGCGACATTTAAACAATTTTATAGAATTTTCAGCTCGAGTTACACAAAAACGAGTTACGCAAAAATACCCATTAATTTAAAAAAAAAACGAGAGTTGGAAATTAAAATTAGAAATCAAAAAACATTGGGAAAGGGATAGGGGAAAGGGGATAGAGGAGAGGGAAAGGGGGGTTAAAACTAAAAAAACATTTGGCTTATTATTATTATAATTATTTTGTTGTAATTGTTGTAGATTTGCTTTTGGTTTTATACACATTTGCAGAGGGTAGAAAAGAGGAGAGAGATAATAATAAAGAGATGAACAAAAAAGGTGATAAACTAAATAAATAAATATTTAGTAAAGTTTTTCGCAGGTTTTTCAACAGACCTAAGAGGAGTCGAGAGACAGCTGCTGCCCGGCCCTTGGCCTCTGTATCTCATTCTGTATCTGTATCTTGGTATCTTGGTATCTTGGTATCTTGGTATCTGTATCTTGGCTTGGCTTGGCTTGGCTTTCATTTGCTTCGATCATTCGGCAGATTATGCATATCGATTAGATCTTCTTCTGACTTCTGCATTGCTATTTCGATTCGTTCTAGTAGTAGGAGATCGCGCGCCTAGGATCTTGGACTCTCGAGATCTGGTCTTGATTCGATTCTTTGAGGGCAGCGAAGAAGTAGGCGGCGGCGGAGTGGAGCAGCGGCAGGAGCAGCAGTGCAACTTGTGGTGGTGGTGGTGGTAGTAGTGGTAGTGGTAGTAGTAGATATTCTCATTCTCATTGGCTTAACAACGCAAATATAACGATTCGATTTAATAGAAATTTCAAGATTAATATCCATGTTGAACAACAGAAATAAAAGAACAAACGAAATCAAAATCATTTCAAAATCAGTTTACAAATCATAATCAGAGAGATATAGATAGATAGATAGATAGATAGATAGATAGAGAGAGTTATATGTTTATGTGTAGAGAGAGAGAGAGAGAGAGAGAGAGAGATAGAGAGGGGGGACAGAGAGATAGAGCGTTACTAAAGCGGGATAGTTATGGAGTTTGGGAACAGGAGAACAGGAGAACAGGAGACGAAGCCATGATCAATCAATTTTGTGTAAACAAAAAAGGAGAAAAACAATAAAAAAAAAAACACAAAAGGAAGAGTTAAAAAATATATTTAGTTTTAGGATTACAAAATTTTGACTAAAGGTTGAAGAAAGGTTTCCAAAAAGAAGGTTTTCAACAGATAGGAGGAGCTGTACTGTACTGGACTGGACTGGACGGGACGGGACGGGACGGCGTGCAAGGACTGGAAAAGTATTTTATTTTTGTATCTTTTTTGGGCAGGTGAAGGCATAGATAGAGGGTGTGGGGTGTGGGGTGGGGGGTGGGGGGTGGGGTTCTGTTAAACGTGGAGAATGGAACTCTCGCCCACTCACCTGGCAAAGCTCTTGAAGGCCGCACTCTGCGGATTGATGCAGAGCGGCACCCGACCCGTCTGCAGCTGCTCGGCAATGAACTTGTGCATCTCCTCTGGAAGTTGAAAAGATGCGAAGAGATTGAGCTTGAGAGACCCACGGACTCGGGCTGGACGGACTCACCCTTGACCTGCTGCACGGAGGTGAGCTTGCGCTCCCATAGATCGTCGAAGGGCTGGCCGGCGGAGGGCTCGAAGTCGGCTGTGTACTGGCGCATCCCGGCTGAGGTAGTGAAGCAGCATTTGCACATGCACGAGTGGTAGCGCAGCCGTCCTTCGTCCAGATACGGATGCGCCAGGGCGTCTGTGACGGAGATTCGCTTGTCCTGTCATGGGATAAAAACGAAAGAAAGGTTAGCAAGAGAGAACCCAAGAGGAGGAGGAGGAGGAGGAGGAGGAAAGGTGTAACCACAAACCGGATCGAAGACCAGCATCTGGCAGAGCAGGTGCACCGCCTCGTGTGTGGCATGGGAGCTGAGGGTGTACAGCACCGAGAAGGAGGGCGGCTTGGGGGCGCGCCGCAGCATGTGGGTCCGGGCCCCCTCGCAGGCGTGCCGCATGTCCTCCATGGTGGGGGTGCCCAGCAGCTCCGTGATCAGCTCCAGCTGCTGGACGGGGTTCTGCGCCTGGAACAGGATGCGCCGGCCGAGCAGCTCCCCGAATATGCAGCCCACCGACCACACGTCCACCGCCGACGAGTAGTGCCGCGCCCCCATCAGGATCTCCGGGGCGCGGTAGTACTGGGTGACCACCTCCTGGGTCATGTGCTTCGCCTGGTCCGGCTCCTCCACGCGGGCCAGCCCGAAGTCGCATATCTTGAGCACGCAGTTCGAGTTGACCAGGAGGTTGCCCGGCTTGATGTCGCGATGCAGGATGCGGGCCGAGTGCAGATACTTGAGGCCGCGCAGTATCTGGTACAGGAACACCTTGATGTGGTCGGCGGATAGGTGCTGTGGCGACACGATTATCTTGTGCAGATCCGATTGCAGCAGCTCCGTTATCACATAGCTATTTGTTCAATTAAAAGTTAAGGCGAAAACCAATAATAGAAGGAAAGTAAACAAATATAAAGCAGGACGAAAGCAGAGGAGTCCCTCACAATGCCCCTCGGCAAAGCAGGCACCTCATCGAAAGCAAGGAACTATCCCATTTCTTTCTGATTTGGATGCGCTTTGGTTCGGATCCCTTTGAGGCGAAAGAGAAACATCAGAGCCCGTCCCTCGAGAGTGAGAGAGAGCTAAGACTGACTGAGAGAGAGTGCTAGCGAGAGAGACAGGAGATTCATGCACTTGGAATCTCCATCCCAAAGAGCTTTAAGAGCCTTGTTTTTTGTTTTGATTGTAAAAAGGATACATTTCCTGAAAGAAATCCAAATGTGGCGGCTGCAAGATGTCCAGGGCCGAAAGAACCTGCAAAAAGAACAGAAAAAAGCAAGCGTTAATCACCGTCTAAGCCAATCGGTACTCATATTAATATTTATACGAGTATCCCTATATTCTACACGATTCAGCGGAGGAAATGCAACAGTTTACACCTCATTTGGAGGGTATTACCTACCTGGGGCTGGGGCTGGGACTGGGACTGGGTCTGAGTCTGGGGCTGATCATAAATTATGGAATCGTAATAAAATAAAAAAAAAAACAAAGCCCAATTGCATGTTAATGTTGCAACAAAACAAAAGCAAGGAAATTGTTGACCCCTTGATGTGGTTACCTGTACGTTCGGAGATACGAAACACGCCACTGTCTTTCCAATGGGGGAGGGATCCATCAGCAGACCTCAGCGGTGACCAGCAGACGGACATTTGACGGACAGCAGAACAAAGGCCAACAGGAAAAAAGGCGAGGGACCCGTACCCTGTTCCCCCAGCCAGCAGACAGACCGACAGACAGACAGACAGACCTACAGACAGAGGGACAGACGGAGGGACAAGCGGACAGGCTCTGATTTATTTTCGCTTGCGGTCAAGATGATGAAGGAACTGCGAGAAAGAGAGAAGCAAAGGCCAGCAATCACATCAAAAAATCTAACAGCTCTCGCTCTGTCTCTGTCTCTCGTCTCTCGTCTCGCTTCCCCGCTCGCCACTCCCCCCCTTAAAATCAATTTACAATATTTATTCAGCCCCAGTGGAGCTGCAGTGGGGACACAAACCGCAGCAAACAAAATGCGTTAAGTGATCAAAAAACAAAACGAGAAAGAACGAAAGCTTGGCTGCGTTGACCGAAGCTCGTGTTACCCCTTAATGTCCATCGGAATGTCGCAACTTAAAGCTTGCTTATATACGGTATCGACCTTTCGATGGCTCTAGATATGCATCAATTATATGTATGTGTGTATATTATCTGCGGTTTAAACGTCTACTGTATCCTCCTGCAGGGAAGGGTATTGCACACGCAGGAACACAGAATGCACCTCTCTCCCTCTCTCTCCCCCTCTGGCCGACCGACTGTCGGCAGTTGCCAAAGCAAAAGCAGTTCAACAATTTTGAGCACTCTGGCAACAACAAAAAAAGTGCCGACAACTTTGGCTCTTGGTCTGCCTCCTGCCTCCTGTCTCCTGCTTGGCTCGTCGTCGTCGTCGTCGTCGAGTCTCCGTGTCTTAAGTGGCAAAGTTTTTTTTTGTGCTCTACAGGAGCCAGAGCTTTGGCTTCTGCAACCCCAACCGCAGCTCCTTTACTTTGTTAAGGCCTTTGTTTTATACATACATATGTATGTATATGTATACATGTGTTTGAATATTTCTCATTCTGTAATATTTCTTGACGGCCGCTGCTGTAATTTAGCGATTGCATTTGTTGCGTTTTTGCGGTTTGCAACAAAAAACAGCGTAAGCGCAACGCAAAAGTCGAACTTTGAATGCACTTTGTTGGGTGGAGGGAGGGGTGTTGGGTCTCGTTTTTGCGTTGAATATGTGAGTAGCTGTGATCTTAAATGTGTACTCTCTCTACCGCCTCTCATCATTCGTCAAATCGACTACTGATCGTCTCGCTACGCGTTCGCTCTTCGGCTCAGTAAGAGAAAGAGAGTAGGCAGACCACCACCTGAGTTAATCAACCACCTCGTCTGCTGCTCTCTCTCTCTCTCTGCTGCTGCTGCTGCTCCCTGGCTCTAGTCAAAGTTTTCTGCTGCGGTCGGCAAGGGCATACATTGTTCCGTTCTGCCGACTGTCGGCGCACACAAACGCACCGAAAACATGTGCAAATATGCGTGCCATACACATACAATATTTTTATGTTACGCGATGCTCGAGACTCAAGTGTTTTGATATTCGGTTAACTTCATTTACTGCACTTCCACTCTGCGCAGGCGCGTAATTTGCTGCTGCTGCGGTTTTCTTGTTTCTTGTTGCTCTGTCGAATTATTTTTTCGGGGCCCACGTGCAACGCAACGCAACGCAGCGCGGCCAGTGGCAGTGGCAGTGGCTGGCAGCTAATTAACATTTCGACTTGGGCTTGCAATCAGAATGCCAATTTATGCATTCTGTAGCTTCAAGTGTCCTTGACGGTGGGTGACGGTAGTACCCTGCCCGGAGAGGGTGGGAGGCGCCAGCACAAGCCAAACAACTCGAGGGGAAGGCAACAACAACACCAGGACTAACACTAACTAGGTTGAGCAAGAGCAAACATTTTCTAGTTAAATACAAAGAGAAACAACAAGTGAAACTTTTCTTCAGAAACTTGCAGCAAGCAGGCAGCTGTGGCAAGCTGTTATTACCCCCCCCCCCCTGGCCGTGTCTAAGCCAGTCCGGACAGGCCAGATCTTGTCTGCAACTTCTTTTGCTCCCCAACAACTTCCATGAATTCCCCCCCACACCCTCGCAAAACAAAAGCAAAAGTGTCGCTGCCCCTCCGCCCCAAAAGCGAAACATTCCATTTTCATTCCAAGCTAAGGGACAAATTTCCAGCTAAAAAAAATGCCCGACAGGCAGCAGCAGCAGCAGCTGTCCACACATATTTGTTCATTAATTACGGGGAATATATACGTGTGTCTGTGTGTCTGTGTGTGTGTGTGTGGAGGTGGAGAGAACGAGCTTCGCCGAAATTGAGTATTGTACGACCCTGGGCAGGGGGGGCGGCGGGGGGATAAGCCCAACGAAACATAATTTGATTTGCTGTTACACCAGATGCCGATGCCGATGCCGATGCGGATGCGGATGCTGCTGTTGATGCCACATATGTATAGTAGAGCTGTTGAACTGCTTGGATTACCTGCCATTCGGAGGCTTTTACCTGCAAGATCTATGGGCATCTACATGGCAGATATCTGAATGGAATAATAACGAAATTTGCATGCAATTGACGATGCTGTTCGAGGCTGAAGCTCAATCATTTTGCCGGCAGCGGGGGGGGCCGAGCGGGGCGGGGACGAGAGCTGACGGCTCTGAAAAGAAATCCAAAATCCTCGAGAAATTCTTTTGAAATGTGCCCCACGTTGCAATACGAATTGCAGGACGCGGGGCAGGGGGCAGGGGGTACAAATACACAGAAAAGATTCGTTTTTTATTGAAATTTCTCTTCGTAGTTTTGCAGCAGCAACAACAACAACAATACCCATGGATAAAGGAGCGCAAATATGTTGCAACGATTTGTGGAACTACAAATGAAAAAAGCACACGATACGGAGGGAGTGGCAACGGGGGCAGCCACTCCTCTCGAAGGCAGTGCAGTAACCACACAAGAATGTTCCATCCATCCATCCATCCGTCTATCTATTACACAAACAAGGCAATGGATTGCCAAAGGAAATGCCACATTTTAATTCGTTCTACAATCAATCGCCTCACGCCCCCTTGACCAGAGACCGAACCACTCATAAAGTGTGCCACACCGCTCCCCCTCCCCGCCCCCGCCCCAATTGATTGAGTTATAAATAGTTGAACTGCCGAGTACACGAATCTCTAAAGAGAGAAACCCAATTTGCTGTAAAATTCAATGCAGCCACGTGCCACGTGCCTCTGTCCCTGCCCCTTGTATCTTCTACCCTTTTACCTGGTCCCGGCACTCCCCATGCCCCATGCCCCCTTCCCCCCCTCCCGAGTTGATTGCACTTGTTTGCCATTCTCTGAATGATGTCTGTCATGTAGGAAATGAAACAGGAAGCACAGAAAGAGACAACAGAGTCGCGCCTTCTTTTGCACACACACACATATAGGTATAAAGAAACATATGTACTCCCCTCCCTATTGCCAGTCTCCCTCCCACATTGAGCATAGCAATTTATGCATATTAATAGAAAATTTGCATATTGGGCAAGGTGCTGTTGTCGACACATACGACGGCATACGGCATAAGGCCTATGGCTGGGGGCTAGCGGGGGCTATGGGGGGCCAGTGCCTGCTCCACTCTACCGCCTACTGATTCTTCATCGTCTACCGTCTACCGTCTACCGTCTTCTCCATCATTGCATTACGAAATTCACACGCAGCGAAGAGCGATAGAGAGAGAGAAGAAAGAAGAGGCCCACTGCCTCTACCTCTACCTCTACCTCCACCGAAGCTTTGGATACTCTTCAGGCTATTATAGATGCATCTGTAGGCTGTAGGTTGAGGCAGATGATAATTATGCCGTTGATGAATGCACAACATTCGAGTGGATGGCCCCTTTCTACGCTACGGCTGATTCCCAGACAGCCCACGGCCTATTTGCCGTCTAATGATGTTGAACCAATCGACGCTGAAACACCGAATCCGTATCCGTATCTGTATCTGTATCTGTATCTGGAAATGATTGTGAGATCCAAAGAGAAGGAGGCCACAGGGAGAGACCGTGACATTTAACAGCCGAGGCCCACAACGAATCATATGTGATATGGTGGTAGGCCCCCCTGCATCCCCCTGCAACCCCCTGCATCCCCTTGCTCCAATAACCCCTCCATCATGCTCATGCTCGTAAACCACTTCTACTTCTCTCTGTGACATTTTGCTTTGAATGCAAATGCCAACTGCCGACTGCCCCAAATATGGAGCCGAACGCCAAAGGTTCTGCTTTTTGAGCACGTGCAGCAGTACATGCAACATGCAACAGCCGACAGCCATGAATTTATGGAAATTAATAATAAATTATAAACGCTATACAAAGTAGTTGTTCCATCAGTTCGAATATTCTTCTGTGTGTCGTGGGCCCCGTCACCGAATGAGACGTTTGGGGGGTTTTTTTTTATGCCCAGATCTGAAAGAGCTCCTTAAATTCGATAAATTAACATGACATTAAAACATTTAAAACATTTAATTAATGACAATAATGCCAGCGAACAATAATTTCCACTCGAACGAAGGACAAAAGGCCAAAAAGACTGAGAGAAATGCGGAAAAATGTCTGCCAAAAGGAAATCATATTTTACCAGGCTCAATGCCCGCCTGCCTTCTCCCTGGAGCCGCCTCTTTCCTGTTTGAGTTGTAAATATTATGAAAAAGAGCCCGCGACTAAAGTGGAAAATATAATTGTTCATAAATTCTCGGGGCAAAGGCAGAGCCGAGGGCAGTCGGCAGTCGGCAGTCGGCAGTCCCTGCCGAGCACCAGCCGGGCGTATGCGTGATATTTTTATTTAACAAGAAATAAAGGATAAATATCTCTCTCCCTCTCCCTCACTCTGCGACAATAATCCAATTGAAAACGTACTGTGTGTACATATATCTCTTTTTTAATTACATTTTTGTCCTGCCATCAATGAAACGCAATGTTTTCCATAAAGATACATAGTTGCAGCAGAGGGGGAGAGAGGGGGGGGGGGGGGGGGGGGCGGGGCTATAGAGGGATCTATCTGGCTGATTGGTTTACTTACATTCTCGTGCTTGAAAAAGCACAGCATTTTCAGCTCACGGAACACGCGCTTCGATGAGACCAAAGACTGGAACACATTTGGCAGCTTCTTGAGGGCCACGCGTCTGCCGTCCCGAGGATCTGTGACAGCCCTAAAAAGGATACAAAATAAGAGAGAGAGAGAGAGAGAATGATTAGTGAGGAAATACTATATGTAGGAGTATCTTAAGGAAAAGTATCTTCCAAGACAGTTTTGCCACACATGTAGATGGTGTGGGGTGGCGTTTGGTTTGGGGGGGGGCTTCTCTGTTTATTTGCTCTTCTGTTTTGGCTTTTCAGCATAATCGTTTCCCATTATCATTAACACTTCTGAGGCTCTGCCTAGACATTCATTCGTTCATTTGCTGCGACTCCCACTCAGACATGCAAATCGTCGCTTTTCAGAATTGAAAGAAGCGCCCTAATGTATGCTACGCCCAAATGGAATGCTGACTCATCCAATCAGACACACACACACACACGCGCACCCCCCTAGCCATGGGAGAGAGTGAGAGAGAGAGAGAGAGAGGGATGTGTTTGTTTTTATGGATTAGAGCAGGAGAGAGAGATGCCAATTGAATCGGCAACTATTTGCCATAATTTTGAACGCCTAACTGTCGTCGAGGAGATTTACGACACACGGCAGTCGAGGGAGGGAGAAAGAGACAGAGAGAGAGGGAGAGAGGGAGAGAGGGCATTCCAGAATGGTTGGTAACTCCGAGACGTGAAAGAAGCTGCGCAATTTTTGGGTTTGAAAGCAAAAACCATAACACACTTCTATTTTCCAGCACAGACGACAACAGAAACAGAAGAGGCATGAGGCATGAGGCATGAGGCAGGGAGAAAGATACAGGATGAGTCAGGGCAGACAGACAACAACGACGACATCGACGGGGTCCCAGACCCAAGACCAGACCAGACCAGACCAGACAGGGACTCCGCACAGTCACTCCCATGGCCAATGGCATCGTAAAAGTTCTCTCCATAAGCTGGCCGCCCTGACGTCTGTGTCGTCGTCGTCGTAGATACCCCTGCAACACAGACCGGCTGTGTTGGTATCTCTTGTTTGACCTTTTTTCGTGCACATTTTGTTGCTAATTTTCTGTCAGACGTTTATCAATTGAGAGACAATGCACACTTGCCTACTTGTAGGCGCCATTTTGCCGAGTATCTATGTATTTGTAGGCCTCTCCACATTATGCCACATGGCTAGGGGTTGGGGATGGCAGGGGGTTGGCTGTTGACTGTCGGCTGTTGCTGCCACACCAAACAAGAGGCAAATAACTCTGGCATTGTTAAAAAGTTGAACGAACTTTTCAACTCCATCGAATGTTTGTTTGTTTCTCTGTCTCCCCACCCCCCCTCTCCCTGTCTGGTTCCGACTGGGCATTGTCTGTTCTGTCCTCTCCTGGTGGAGGGGAATGGCAGGGGGGTGGGGAGGGGGGGAATGGGTACTGCAAAATGACATTAATTCTTGGGGGACGCCTGCAGAGCACATAATGCGACACTTGAGCGGAGAAGAGGCTGGAGATTAAGTTTGGAGGGCACTATGTAGAGGTTTCATTTGTTTCAATGTTTAGATATTTGATACTCGATTCGATTTTCATTCTTCTCTGGAGAGCGGGGGCCATCCATCAAATTCTCCAAAGCGAGGATCCGGTTTTGAGATTGAAATGGGTTAAAATCAAAAATATTTACAGATGAACTGAACCCCAGAGGAAGATGAAAAGATATGACCACATATTGATGGACAAATAAGGCGGGAATGATAAAAGAGAGAGACAGAGTCGGGCGAGAGGGAGAGCGCCTGATGATGATGGATGATGGATGACAAAATGCAAGCACGTTCATGTTCAAAGTCGTTTTCCTCTTCTCCTCTTCTCCTTTCAATGTCAGTTAATGGAAAATCATTTATCATGTGCGTGTGCGTGTGCCCCCCCCCGTCGTTCTCCCTCTCTGGGAAGCAGGGAAGATTCGAAACGAAACAAAAAGTGCCAGAACTAAATGATAATTACCCAAGACAACAATAACGAAAATCGGACCAAAAGGAGGCGGTCATTGTCAGTCATTCCCCCTCCCCTCGCCACCCATGGATCAATAATTTATCATCTTTGACCCGAAGAGGTCTCCGAATCTAGGAGGTGGGGGCGGGGGGGGCGGGGGGCCGTCCTTCAATTCGTGTTGGTCTCAGCTCGAATTGTAAATTTGTTATAGTTTCCCCCGTCCCCCCTCACCCTCCCCGACTGATTGATCGGGGGAAGCATCTTCAATTGTCTGGGACCACTCCAGGTGTGTGTCCATTTCGTGCTCAAGTGTGCAGAGAATCCCTCTCCCTCTCCCTCTCTCGGCCCTCCCTAGAAAAAGGAAAAACTTCAAATTGCCATTTGAAAGTCCGAAAAGTTTTCAGCGTTCTTTTCTCTTTTCAAATATCCTTTCGATTGACTCTTGGGCAGTACAGTGAAATACCCTGTAATGCAGGGTCCATGCGGGGTGTGGGGCAGTGCTTGCTTTGCTCTCTCTCTCTCGCTCTCTGCCCAATCCTTTCCTCTCCAGTTCGGTGCTTAAGCAGCTTTTGTCGAAAAGTAACTTTTGAATGACTTTCGGGTTCTCGGAACCCTGCCTGCGGGTCACATCTGCCTTTACGTTACATTATTATTTATATTCCTTCTCGCTCTCTCTCTTTCGCTCTCCAAATTGATGTTTTGGTCCCTTTTTGGGAGGCACACAGGCACGGCCTCGCATCTGCTTCCATAATTTCATTTTTGATTTCTTTTGACACTTTGCACATGCTTTTTGAATAACTCATCACCTTATTCCGTGCAGCCATCGTCAAACATTCCTTGCTGCTTATCCATCCCTCTCTCTCTCTCTCTTCCTCCTTCCACCACTGTCCAGCATATGCCCTCCCCCCCTCCCTCGCAAAAAAAAGCTTATCCAGCCAAGTGAGCATTTGTTGCCTTTGGGCCTTTGGCTTCCTGCTGCTGCTGCTGCTGCTGCTGCTGCTGCTGACGTCGTCTGCCTGCCGTTCCTCACTTCTGCGTCTCCCCCACCCACTCACACCTTCCTCCAGCTCCAGCCCTGGCTCGACTCGTTCATTGAACTTTCAGAGCATCTCGCCTTTCATCTTGCTTGTTCTTCTTGCTTCTCAAATTTATTTCGATCAGAAGTCAAAGCGCGCCGGCATCGCACACCGCACTGCAATCGCTTTAAAGCTCTCAATTACTAATTGCAGTTTTGCTATAATCATGGGCACATTACATTCTGAATTCCGTGTGTCACCCGCCAAACGTGTGGCCGGGGAGGGTAGGGGGGGGTGTGCGGAAACATGACGTTTCACATTTTGGCTTGCGTGTAAATTACTAATTTCAGTTGTTGCTGCCGCTGCTGTCGCTTTGATTGCCTCTGTCATACGCTCTCCTGCCCGCTCTCTCTCTCTCTCTCGCTACTGCCCATTGTCGTCCGCTTCGCGCCGCTATGTTTTCTTGTTGTCTTCTGATGTGCTCAGCCATCCAAATGTTGTGCTGATGCCAGCATCCTCTCTCTCTCTCTCGCTCGCTTTCAAAGCCACCGTCGCATGCAAAACAACATGCGGGTGCAGGCGACAAAGGTTTCAAAAGTGTTTTCAAGACTGAAATGTTGCCAACAAATTGTGCATTTATATGTGTATAAAAAGTAATTGCTTGCATTCTAATTCGATCGCACATATATCGACACATTTGTCACCTGTGCCACTCCCGAGATGCGACGACTAATTCGTATGTTTCACCATTTCAAACTGTTATAATTATGGCACCGTACGAGTATGCCAGTGGCAGCAGGGGAATGCTAATGCTAATCTCGTTGTATCCGACTCGTTTCTAACCCACTACTGCCCCCCGCAAGCGCACACACACACACACACACACACGTGTACATGTGGCTTGTTGTTTGTAGAGAATACGCAACATTAATTGCAACATTTTCGCTGCTGTTAATTGACTAATAACTTTGGGGCATATTCTCCCAGAGGCGAGAGGGAGAGAGAGAGAGGGGACCATCAGACACACACACACACGCACACGCACACTAAAGCAATTAAGCTTAATTGAATTTGATTATATAAATATAATGGCATAGGAAAATAGAGCAAGCAGAGGGGGCAAAAGGTCCCCCCTCCCTACCTCCATCCCTCTCTCTCTCTCTGTGTGTTTGCGGCGGGGAAAACTCAATTTAAAACTAGCCTAAATGTACGGGAACTCAATCTCCGCTTTTGCAGCCTTCTTTTGCACAGCAAGCCCTTCCCCCGGCCCCCACCCTACCGCTCTCCAATCCCTTTTGGCAACAGCCATGTCCTGCGCCAGCGTCGTCGTCGTCGTCGTCGTCTGCTTCAATTTATGCGCGTAATCAATTTTACAAATGGCCTGCAGGCGGCAAAGGCAGCCAGGCAGGCAGGCAGGCAGGTAGGCGTGGCATATGGTAGAGGCAGGCCAAACGAGAGAGAGAGAGAGAGAGAGAGAGAGAGAGCGAAAGAGACAGCAAGAGGCAGAGAAATAAATTTATGCAATTTAGAATTTTCCGAGGGTATGTCGGACTCTTGCACTCCACTCTAATACGCTCAGCTCCGCTCTCTCTCTCTCTCTGTCTCTCTCTCTCTCTCCCTGTCTGTCTCCCTGTAGAGGGTGTACTGTACTGTACTGTACTCCACTGTAGTGTGCTGCATGTTTCAGTCAATGACTTTTACAGCCGAATGAGGCTGAAATCAATTAAAATCCATTTTGATTGCATTCTTGCAGACATGCAAATGGGAAATCATGTGCCACACCTTTCGCAAGCCCCCTAAAAAGTATGCTATGAAAAATGAGCACACATTAAAAATCTACCAGGATTCGTGTCCCGGAGCCCCCACCCCACGCCACAAAAGCAAAACAATAGAGTCATTGTCAATGTCGTTAGCTCTGGGCTGGGGTGGGGGTGGTATGGGTGGGGTGGGGGGCTTGTGTCTGTTCTCGGCTATATTTCACTTTAATGCCGCCTCGCGGAGGCGCCTCCTCCTTTGGGGCGGGGGGGCCTAAAAGTAGGTGGAATGAAAAATGACAACATTGCCAGGCGCCAAATTGCCAAAAGACGTTAAATG